TTTACATAATATTTTTTTTTTTTTTTTTTTTTTTTTTTTTTATTATTATTTCTCGAAAAAGATACAAGAAATTACCTTTATTTTGATCCCACACACGGGAACTTGGAACACACTTCACACTACCACTAACTTTACAAAACCTACTCCAAAAAAGTATTTTCTACTCACCAACTCACTTCTCTCACTCTAGAACCTGCTCAACCACGTTCCAAGCAAAGTGATGTCAGTCCTCCGAGACTGATGAGCTCGTGACAAAGGATCCAACCGAGCCTGCACTGTTTGTTTTATCTCAAAAATCACCGCTTGCGCAGGTCTTGACGAGCCTACACTATTTGGTACAGCATGTACCCTCGCATTCCTCTCCTTCCAAATAGAATATATCGAAGCTTGATACACCAACTTAATAATCAAAGCCACAAACTCATCCGTAGTAGGCGCTTGCAACCATCTCAGACTATCCTCAAACAAAACCGGCGGAGTAAGATGGAGTTTAGAGTAGAAGAAGGACCAGACCTCTTTACTGAAAACGCAGTCAAAAAACAAATGCTGTCTTGTTTCATCCGCTTGATTGCAGAGGATACATACTGCAGGAACTTGTAACCCCCACCTTCTCATTCTATCACGCGTTCCGTGATAAATGCATGCTTCGGAATTCTTCCTTGAAATCAGACTTGTCGCGACCAAGAGACGCGTTCTCCCTGTGGGTGCAGGGCTGCCCAAGTGTCAGCAGTGGAAAAAGATGTCGAGGCAACTCTGTTACCCGGCTTCCAAAGATAAATATCCTCCGCTTCTGAAGCAAGAATCGGCGCTGGATCCGGGAGACAATCCCTTACAAAGGTGATGATGTTGTTTCTGCTCCGACTTCGACTTAGCCACCAATCCCCACCCTGCAAAGCATCAGCTACCACTGCATCTATAGACAAGCCAGTAACTGCAGGTCCTCTGATACCCGTGAGCTCAATCAAAGGACCCAAAGAGGTCCAATTATCATGCCAAAACCGAGCTGTTCTACCCCTTCCTACTTCGCACACCACCATAGGCCGAGCAAGATGTCTCAACTTGCACAAGCTCTTCCAGATCCAACTATCAGGTCTTTGAGGCCGAAGTTCCCAGAAATTCTGGTCCCCAATTAGTTAGAAAGAAAGACATAACATAATGGTATTTGTGTTAGTTCATGACTACACAAAGTCGACCCCGTAATATTGGATGCTGAGGAGAAAATAAATCCACAAAATGTAAGGTACAATCTTTAATAAAATATACAGAATCAAGTTCGAGATACATTGTTTCTAAAATTCGTTTCGAATGAAATGAATTTTGAAAACTTGGGGACATCTTCTGCAGGTTATAAGAATGCCAAAACATAAAATGTATCCTGATATTTAACTTGGTTCCACTTATTAAGTACTGAAAAATTAACAAACCATGATGGTTTTGGGACCTCTATTCTCCTCCAGCGAGCCGGGGCATCCAGTGCGGCAACGTTGTATTTGTCAACCGAATTAGGGTTCCGGCATCTACTTCTCCATCTTCATTCCTTTCCGATGTGTCCCTATAAGTATCAATATTAGTGCATTCCATTTTATATTATACACAATTTGCTAATAGCTAGGCAAATAGTACTAACTACTAAGAACACAAAATATATATAATTGTGTAACACATGAACATACTCTTATTATTAATCAATAGTAACACATTTAATTTGTTTTTTTTTCCATATATACGTAGCCAAGTGAAATCGATATGTAGAGTACCCAAGAGATAGAAGAGGATTGGGAGCTAGAGGCCCGGGCAACGGCTGTGGTGGCTCACATGGTGGTGTTGCCAGTGAGGCTAATTCTTGGATAGGATTTTGTGACTCAAAGTCTTCTGTTTGATCAGCCTGCTAAATCCAATACTTGTTATAGAGCTATTTTTTTGGTTCAAGTTATAGTACTATTTTCACATTAATTCTAACATAAATTAAATATATGTAATCCAGATACTAATCTCTGAAACTTTAACCTCCAAATTACTTATATACGTATAGTCAAAGATGATGACATCCGTTCACCTTCTTTGTTAGTTGTTTCTTCAGTTCTTTGAGTTCCTTCTCCTATGTATGCCAAAAAAAGATCACACATTTATTAATTTAATTCGTTTGGAAACTCAAAGTATTCTAGAACTAAAATCTGGAATTGTATTTCTTAATTGCAAAAAAGAACAAACAAAGAATAGCAATCGTAAGATCACACACACATAGATATATAGTCCAAGTACAAAACCATTACATTAATGAGTAATCATCTTCAAACTAATATATTACCTTTTTCTTGAGCTGTGCTATGGACTCTACCATGAGCTGATTCTGTGCTCCCAAACCAAAAAAAACTTGGGTCATGATTAGTTAGATGTAGTATATGAGTATATCTATGTATCTGTGTGAATATATCTTATTTACATGCAGAACATTATTAGAAAATGACTTGTACAAATGATCGGTGCATACATGTATACTAGATAAAGATAAATTATATAGATATTGGTAAATAAACCTTTCTAGAGCGAGTCTTCTTGAGAGAAGTATCAAGTTGCATCTCCAGATCTTGAAGCTCTCTGATACTTAGAGCATCCACCTCTTCTCCATTTAAGTGCCTTATATTAAATAACATATTTAACTTCTTTTTTTTTTATAAAGAAGGAAAAATCAATTAAAATATTGTAAAGGTCCTTTTCTATTCACATGAAAACACTATATTAAATAACTAAGTTACTAAATGAAAATGCAATGTTTTATATGGTGTAAATTTGTAAACGTGTGCGTTTATTATGTATGGATAGATGATCCTTTAGTAATATATAAGTTTCTAACCTTAAGCTTCTTTGCATAACATCAACCATCCTCAAGAGCTTCGAACATTCTGTTGAACACTCACCCTACCAACAACAATAATAAGAACTGACAAGCAATATTAAATTTACAATAGAAAATAATTCATATGTAATAGATATTAATTGATGTGCTTAAGAACCTGTGAATTCAAACTGGGTGTAGTAACATCTTGTCCGGCGTATGAACATCTCTCATATCGTTCAAGAATTCTCTCCATGCTAAACATCGTTTAATTGAACTTGAATTAATGAACACTCAGATGTAAATACTATCACCAAACCGCATATTGAACATAAATGCTACCCAATACCACCACATGCAGGATTTTATACACTGTTTTACAATATTCCTTAGGCTAAAATCATTATTAGATCAAACTAAACCATATTTCTTCGAACATATTTGCAAGAAATTTCATTTTTGGACATACGGCTTAAAGCTAAGAAGCCAGAAAAGTAACATCATGGGCGTGTATATGTTTTCATTTGAAGATCGAGGTTAGTCCTAGGTTCGACCAACAAAAAGACAAAGCAAGGCACAAAGCTCCATGACAAAGGCTTGTCATGCTTCAAACAACATTTTACTGTATATCTTAATTATAAAACACAATATCACATACGAATTATTACTTTCATGTTTACTATTATTACAATCATGGTTCAAATCTCACTCCTATTTATAGTAGATTTGGTTTCTCTCTTTAGTAATTTTGTGTATATTTTGATATTTTGTATTCACTTTCTTAAAAAAAAACAAAGCAAACTTCAATGACATGAGTAATAGCCCAAGTATTCCTTTGGACATTAGACCTACTCATTGGTTCATACCCTAAAGGTGGGTATCAAAAATTTGCTTGTACTTTATATCATACTTGCTCTGCAACCTTTTTCCTATAAACCACCCTTTTCCGTAAGGTGAAAGAGAAACAACTCACACCTAAACTAAAAGAAAGATCTCTTAGTATTTCATGGTATTAATCAACTTATATTGGTTTACAGTTATGACATTATCCTCCATATGTTTCTGAATAATTCATATAACCAAAGGTACTGTTATATCTCACAATTATGGTTTGTTGACAATTGTCTCTACTCTCTTCTATTAATTTGATTCATGTTTATCTCTAACTTAGATGCAAGAACTAATCAGAGATGCAAGAATTAAACATGTGTATATTAATCTATCACATACATGTTTACAAATTCTTCTATGTAATCAAAATATCTGAGACACTTTCACACCAATCTTCACTAGCTAAAACCTATTAGTTTGCCCGATCTGTCAAAACATAAAATATAAGCTGATATTCCTATGTAGATAGATTATAATAGATTTGCAGTCTTAAAAAGAAAAAAGTTAGAGGGTAAAATAAGATCCGAATTATAAATAAGTTAGTTATGGAAGAAAAAAAAAGCCGAACCTGGAACCAGCAGAGTACTCAAAGAGCTTGCCTTTTGGAGAGAAGACAAGCAAAGCAACATCAGCATCACATAATACAGAGATCTCTTGAGCTTTCTTCACCAAACCCGTTCTTCTCTTTGAAAATGTCACTTGCCTCCTTATCTTGTTCTCGATCCGCCTTAGCTGAACCCTTCCCCTTCCCATTTCTTCAAAATCGTTGTCAAGAAACCAAAGCGAGGGCTAAAAAGAATACCTTCGAATTTTGACCAGAAAATGATGAAGAAAGAAAACCCTAGTTTCTCTCTCTTAAAAAGAAGAAAAGTAAAGTAAGATGAGAAATTACCAAAAAAAATTATGTAAGTTTCTATTTATGTGAACTAACTCTATATAAATTTGTTATGCACACAAAGGCACAAAGTCATATGAAGGAAAAAAGAGAAATTATCAAATGATACAATTAGGGAAAGTGAAAGCAGACACATTAGCTAATAATAATTCATTTATGTGCCCAAAAATAGTCTTCAGTTATTATAACTTGGTAACGAAATAATTAAATAACTCATTAACTGCTGGTTGTACGGAATTTGGCCTGTTTTAATTCAATAATTAAGCTGTAATTATCAAGATTAAAACGATACTAACAAATGCTGTGAATCCATTGGATCTTTTGACCAAATGGTATCAAATATATGAATGGAAAGAAAATACAGTACATATTAAAAATTAATAAAAACTTGACATATCACAGTGTTAAACACCACATAAAACAAAATAATTACCTTATCGAGAAATTTTGGAAATTCTAATTAAATGGAATAAAAGAAAAGAGACTGTTATATATATACACATATGTGGGAATATCAAGTAACAACTTAAGAATATTTTGTTCATGATGGTTCACGTTATACTGACATTTATATTTTATATATAAAAGAATTGTGAATTACTAAGTTAAGTCTTCTACTTCTTTTTGTCGCACAATTAAAAGAGTATAGCCTCAACTTATAGTGAAACTGAAAAAAAAAACTATTACAAATCCAAATAAGAAAAAAAAATCAAGGAGACATGAATATCTTATTCGACAATTTTGCGAATTGTAATAGACTGATGCAACTTTATAAAGGGCTATTCTCGTTTTGTATTAGACACAAAATGTCTCACACCGATAATTAGAAGGGATCCTTAGTAGTATATAAGATAGATAATACTATACAGTTGATATAGTCCCTACTATTAGAATTGAAACTAAAAAATTTATATGTTTTTTTATGGTAGCATATTTAGTTGTATACCTTCCATAAGTTTTTTATATTTATTTTTTATGGTAGCATATTTAACATAAAAATGGAGAAAAGAAAGATCTAATTTCCATAACAGTTTATATATGTACTATAAAATAAAGTGCAAAACCATCAGTTTAAGAATTTGGCTTATAGTTTAGTCCAAGAAAAAAAAGAAGAATTCGGCTTATAGTATTACAAGGCCCAATTCAAATGGATACGAGGAAAGCGATGATACTAACTTTGATCATAAAATCTAAGATGATTGAACATCGCACAGAAGGCCAAATTAGGGGGTTGTAAATGGCAATTGACATAAAATGTATTTTTTTTTATAAATTCTATCAGCTGATCCATTCAACACCGGGAGGAAACACATTTAATTTTTCAGAGTGTATTGGCTATCACACTATTTTAATCCAAGTTTAGAGTGTTTCTCGATTAATGTTAGAGGATGAACCGATCATGTGTTACAATCTACAATGTTAACCACCTAAACGAATGGCCAAATCCAAACTAACCAAATAGTGATAACTTAGTTTTTAAAGAAAATCGAATCTAAGTACAAACATGGATATATGTTTAGTTTCAAAAGATTATCAATAGGTTACCATCACTTGGTTATAAAATGTATATCTAGACAAATACTTTATATTCAATGTATACAAAATGCATGGGACTATATATTATGCACAACCCAATACACGTACATATGGTCTAAGTGTATGTATATATATTATGAGCATGTGGTCCAACGCAAATTAATAATAAGTTAATTTGGGTTAATGCGTTTTAGTACTAGATTAGTAATATAACTTGAGCGGGATAGACCTTTCATGGGTTCTCATTTGTGGTCCACCGCATTAAAATGTAATAATAGTTTGTCACTTTTGTTTATATATAGTGAAAACTGTATACCACCAATTCTGAAAGTTTCTGTACTATTACCAACTTATAAATCGAAGATTATGGGGACCATGATGCATATAGGCTTCCAAATGGTACTAAACCCTAATATTCAAATCTCACGCTGAGCTATCAAAGGTTGGGGACCATCCGATTTCGCGGTCCGAACTGTAAACAATTTTAAACATAACATTTTTTCAGAAAAAGAATAGCAGAAAAAGTCTATAAAAAATACGGTTAATATTTTTTTTCATTAGTGGGATTATAAGATGTGGTTACCAGGATGATGGATGACATGCTCCTTGTGTATATATATATATATATATATATATATATATATATATATATATATATATATGAAGAATCAAGTAGATGTGGTACCACAAATGTAGGCCAAAGGGGAACTCTTATACGATGTTGGAATTTCGAAGACAAGTAGTTTATATTACTGGTGACCCTTTGATGAGATTTAGGGACAACATTTTTTAGTCCCAATGCTCTTCATGTAATTTTATGAATTTATAGATAAACAATGAATGGCTATCTTATTTTATATATTATCTTATCTTTGATATACAATTCTTAACAATTTCAAAGAGAAAAACCGTCCCTACCACAAATATGTAAATCTCTACTCACACTATTCTACATATTTCTATGGAGATCCAAGAAAAAAAACATTTGTAGTCACTGTTGTAATTTCTGGTGCAGTCTAAACCCCAATCTACAATGTTGACCAATAATAATAAATTTTGGCGATACTCTGGATTTAATCTTAGTATACATAAATATATCTGTTCATTTTTGTAAAAAAAAAAACTAATTATATACGTAAAAAATATTAGAAAACTTATCATGATTTAAATTTGTATTCAAAACAGTCATATAGATCAAAGCACGTAGAACATCTTTAATATTACACTAATTGTTCTAGAAAACAATAAGAGTTTCCTAAATAATAAAGCATTAGGGAAGATGCTGTGAATATAATTGGGCACCTCTTGCATATGCTCCAGTTTACACCATCAACCTTTTCAACTTTACTTTTCCTTTTGAAAAAGGAGCTCGGCTATTATATCCAAGTGGGTAGAATGACCAAACAAAATGTATTTTTAAAACAATTAGCAATCATACTTACAGACGGAAATTGTAAGAACTAACATATTAGATTTAATAAGGTTATATAAAACTTTTTAGACAAATTAATACTTTCATATTTTATGACAAAACATCCTTAAAATAGGCATATACGTGAGATGGGAAAGAGAAGAAGTAAAGAGAAAAACGAGGTTGGTTGCACCGAGAAAAAAAAATGTATCCTTAATACTTCAAAATTAATTGACAATAAATATGTTAATCTATATATTAATATAGATCAAAAAAAATATATTAATCTTTGATCAAAAAAATATATTAATCTATATTTTATATATCACTTAACGTTCTTGGCTACTTTTTTATTTTCTGTAAAAAACGTTCTTGTCTACTTGATATAATTAATTTCAGTATAAAGTGCTGACATTTCAATCCCTGATTTATCTAATCACTACAACCCCTTCAATCTCTCACATTGCAATCCCTGGTTTATCTTACTTTGACTGTAATTTTGTAAGTTGTAATTACTCGTGTCACGATTCTCACCTTGTATATATATGTGATATGCAAAATGATGTAATATAATCACTCATTCTTATTTCTACATGATATCACAAAATCTCAAAGTTCATTTCTATAAGCATACATGTTTCTTGAAATAGGCTTTTGTTTTCTTGCATTTTCCGCTTTAATCTTTTCTAGTTTTCTTTGTAAGACAATAATATAAAGACCTTTAAAAAATAACAAATTAAGCATACATGTTCCTAATTTTTCTTCTCCTTCTACCAAGCCATTGTAATGCTTCTACAACACTTATTCAGTGTGCTTTTACCAACAAGCTAATTAAATCCATTTTTCCATGTTGTCATCAGCCAAAAACTTACTTGCCGCCAGCATCAATCAAACGCACACGTCCATACCATATTCGGACGTTGCCAGCACTGTAATATCCTATGGCATAGTGGTAAGATGTCCTCTCTACTTCACACCTCGATGTCTGCTCCTTCAGCAGAGCTTTTGCAACAACCACGACAAACAAATGTAGCTCTTGAGTCTTCAACGGACGCGCCAGGTTCCTGAATCCTGACTCCTATTTATTGGAGCTATGTGAGCTTGTAATATATACTCTGAAGATATTTAATTGAACCTGTCTGAGAGCAACATTTGCTTGTGGTGGCTGATAAAAAAATCCTGAAGAAGCAGAAAGTGCCGTGTGAAGTTGAGATTGTTGAGCTGAGAACAAGAGAGCACTCACCAAGCCCTTGAGAAAAAAAGTCAAGATTTAGCCCATCTCATAAAACGTTTACTCCATTCTAACAAAAATTGTTATGGCTACAAAATTTAAAAATATTTTTAACTATTTTACAGGATGTGAATGAAGTTATCTACTATTGATGAATTATTGTGTTAAATTTGAATTGTGTTATAAACATAAAAAACAAGAATGCTATAATTAAACCAAGTAGCAGTTTTTAAGGGAGTAGATCACTAATTTCCACGGAGAAACAGACAAAATAAAATGTAAATTATTTCTATAAAGTTCAGTTTATAATTGTGACTTGTGAGTGACAGTAACAAAACAATATTTTCATATTGATGCTTTATTTGATTTAATTCTTAAATTGTTAAATATACCTCACAGTACGCCTCTATCCGTGGGCTTTTGATAAATTTGAGCCTTTTAGCTTATGGTTATTTATAATTATAGTCAATTTTAATTTTTCTTAGTTGGGTTTACTAATGGGTTTGGATATTTATATATTATTAGTTTGACGGCCCATTCGATGCGGACTATTTCATCCCTTTCTGATAGGTTAGGAAATTGTTACAGTCAAATCCTTCTTATCTAACAAATTAAACACAATCAAAAACTAACTTTACGAATAATTGCATATACAACATAACATAATTAATGATATTATAACAGTCTAGAGTTTGATCTATTATTTTTATTTCTCATAAATATATGATATGTCACATTAACTATCATAGTTAAAAAAGTTCAGTTTCAACTTCAGAAAAATATGTTACATCCATCCTATAAGAGGTCAAACTACAAATTAAGAATGATCAAAAGGTCCAAAATTTTAGATAGAAATCACACATGATTAAAGAAGATATCCGTAGATTTGTCGATGCATATATATTCCAAACCATTTTATTAGCCTCACTAAACTTCTAAGGTTAGAAAAATACCAATTGATGCGATCTTACATTTTTTCTGTTATACCGTATGAAGACACAACTGTCTTTATATCTCCTTACATACTAATCAAAAAATATAGCCTCCAGTGTAAAATTCATTATAACTATAATCCCATGATCCACACGTCGGACCCTCACTTCCTCCGCCGTTAAATTTCTCAGCACTATGAGCATCTGTTCTCTGTTCTAAGCCACCACCAAAACAGTGTGGATCATCTTCTTCTAGACTCCACAAGCTGCCCCACAAGTCACCTTCATCGATCATGGAGTGGTCACTTGAGGTTGATGCAACATTTTGAGGCATATGAAATTGGTTATTGTAGACACTAGTTGGGTAAGAGAAAGAGGTAGCTATGTTTTGCTCGTTGTCCAGACTTTTGTGGTCGTGAGGCACAAGCTGAGATGGTTGATTCTGCAGTTGTGGTTGTGGTTTTAGCTCAAGTTGTTTCTTGGATCTTTTGACTTTTTCTTGCTTGTAAAAATATTTATCTTTTTTCTTGTAGTGGGTTCTCCAATAGTTCTTGATTTCGTTATCGGTTCGTCCTGGTAAATATCTTGCAATTGTAGACCACCTATATTTTTTTTGTGAAGATTATACTTTTAATGCATTTCCATGAAATGTTTGAATACTTACATATCTATACAACGCGGAGCGTAAGATAATAGAAAGGATCAAACCAAGAAATGGTGAGTAAAACTATGTTTGTATATCAATCATGTTTTTAGATTACTAGTAGTATGTACTATGTTGATTTCCCTTTATATATCGTCTGCCATTTCAAGAAAGAAAAAAAGAAGAAGAAAAAAGGAGCTTACTTGTTACCCCAAAGGGAATGAAGTTCAAGGATGATTCCTTCTTCTTGAGGAGTGATTTGTCCTCTCTTAAGACCTGGTCTCAAGTAGTTCACCCACCTTAGTCTACAGCTCTTGCCACTTCTATTCAACCCTAATTTTAATTCCAAGACAGAAAACGAAAAATATTGGAAAGAGTACTAAGAATGGGTTTGACAAAACATGAATATGTATAAATTTAAATGCAACTTGATGATCTTTATCTATATATCATATTTTTGCATTATTTCAACGAAAATGTTCGAACAAAAAGGTAATATATGTAAAAATGTTCCAAATTGATCAAAGTCAACTCCCTCAAATAACGAATCATAAGATCAACTTTTGATTTTAGAAAAAATAAACCCTAAAAGCTTATTCGATCATGACGTTGTCCCATTTCTAACCATGAAAAGTGGAGACTGCTATACATTAAAAGGACGAAAGAAACAAGAATGAAATGTTCTATCAAGAGCTTCATTAAGTCAACTATCATCATTTAATATATGCTTTACCCACTTGTCTTTTATTAATCGTCATTATAGCTTGTACACTGACTAACTTATTACTTCTATAAGATTACTAATTAGATCTACCCTGAAATAGATATTAATTAAATACCCTGAAATTATTCAATAAGAAAGAAGATCGATATCCGTGGAATAGTGCAATTTAGATTTGCTTACTAATATGTCTATATGAGCTTATGATTTAGCAACGATGAAAAGTAGATGATTATGCATGTATATAAAGTAAATACATATATAGCCATTACCAAATTAAAATTAGTTTACCTGCAGACTTAGCAACAGTGCTCCATCTTCCTTCCCCATTCGAAGTTATATACTCGGCGAGAAGCTTGTCTTCTTCAGGTGTCCATGGTCCCTTTCTACATCGTTGTTGTTGTTGTTTATAAGGATCATGGTCATGGTTTGGATGGTCGACTTGATCAATTCCCCAATCAAGCATACCTCTTCAATCTTCAGAAACTCTTTCAAATACTAATACTACCACTTCTGTGAAAATATGTGCAAAAGTATGAGCTTAATTTTCTCTACTATGTTCATGGTTGTGGTTGAACATGTGCGTGTATATATATGCATTATATGTATACATATATGCTTAAGAACTGTCGCTTCTTAGTTACTTTTATGGGTTATATATTTATTTCATTTACTTTAGTTAAAGGCTATAGTTAATCATGTAGCATATGTGAATTTATGAATTATCAATAGTCTAATTTATTATATAAATTTTAACTTGAGGTCCTCAATCACGGAAGCAATCTTGGTAAGCCACTATTCTTCGAACATGTGTTGATACATAATGAGAACCAGCTAACTTTTTTGCTTACCCAATTAGGATTTTACAAGTACCCTATTACCAAATCCATACATAAAACCGTACAACAAATTTATTCGTCGATCACTAAAAAATATTCTTGAACAACAATGTTTGTCTTTGGACACTTAAAAAGCTTTTTAGACATCATCACATAAGCATAACTTTGTTCTGGATTCAGTCCTTGGGGAAGTGTATATTATAAAAAAATACTAGTGGGTTGTCTTATTTCCTCGAAAATAACTTATGAGCCAATAGAACCTCAACACCTGGGAAATAAAATAATGAAAAGGCAAGCATGCTTTAAGAGAGTACTGTAATTCGTGATTAGTTTATGGATGAATTAGAATACTATGCCTAAAATAATAGGCCTAAGGAAGTGTATACTATTTCGGGCAATAAGAAAATCAGAAACTGCCTTCCATACAAATAAAGCATTGATGACTCACCATGTATCCATGTGGCCTTTCAGCTATACGTAACAACATTTATGGTAATGTTAGGGTTTTCTTGAATTGGTTAAACCGATTCAGCCATTAAAAGAATTGAACTTTAAAATTATTTAAAAAAATCTTTTACCTTGGAGATGGCAATTTCACTTGCTCACGAAATTTAAAGATGATGTTTCATTACAAGTTAAATTATCAGAGTTATGAACTGTATTATTAGCACTTAAAAATTTATAATCTTAATTTTGGTTTCGATATTCCTTTGATTAACTATACTCCAATTAGGAAGCTTTTTATGCAGCTTATTCTTTAATTTTCGAAGAAATTTTTAGGCGGACAGTAGTAGATAAGCATCAACGACAAAATCTCCAATGACGTAAGAAACTAAATTCATTTATGCTATTAAAAATATTTATAAAGCTATTCTGACATAGACTGTACACGTATGGAGGACAATATTTTCAATAAGTTTGCACAACGATATTCAGAGAAAGACCTATTTCTTACGTGCCACATATACAATAGAAATAAAAATCATATAGTTATTATTATTGTTGCTATTAAATATGTTTATAGAAAAATAGTTAGACAGATTAACACACAAAAATATTTCATTTACAAGTTAAAATATTAATATAATATGTTTTAGATTATAATAAAATATTCATTTTCTAAACTGAAAAGTTGAAATTCACATAATTTTACATCAAACCAAATAGTTAAGGTTTTAACCAAAATATAAAAAAATCAAAATTATCAAACAAAATTGAATTAACCAAAGTAAGTGTGTTTTGAAAAAGGTAGTTCTTTTTACAAAATAAAAGACTGAAAATTGGTAATCTATAACCAAAACTGAAACAAAATCTAAACTGAAAATCTATAATAAAGCCACATCATAAACATTCTCTTCAAATCGAACCTTTGTTTTGCACCAATTTATTACAAAGAAAAAAATCTGAATGTGATATATACTCAAATCTAGCTCTGCTTTTAATTTTCTAAACAATTCCATTAGATTAGCATTTGTAAAACATTCTTTGTTCTTGATTAAAAAAACATTAAATTTCAACAAAAGTGTCTAAGAGATCTAGCATGTTTTCAGCTCTTGGTTAATTGCTAAATGCAGAATTATTGTTTCGGTCATATAAACCACGTATATCCAATCCTATACGCACCGGATCCGATATATCCCAAACTTTTCTAAATTCTACAAATGCTTCCACTCAAACAAGAAAAAACCAGTCCATGGTATTTTGGTGCACTACAAAATTCGTACTAAAACTATCCTTAAAATTATAGTGGTCTACGTCGCATTTATGATCGGTTTAAGATGAGTAGTTTCATTTTAGATTTTAATTTTAGTTATTAGGCTTAAATTGTTGGTATAATCAAGAGAAAAGCATTGTCACTATATTGGGAATGTTATAAAGTAAGTATAAGCCTCAAATCATTGTTGTGACATCGATCGATCGATCATAAGATTGGAGAGCTGGACGACACCATATACATTTGAATAAGATTATGTTTCGACCAGTTTCCACACATAAGGGATAAGGACCACAACATAATTAATTAAACACAGTAGTTGTATAAAGCAAGGAAATTATAAGTATTTTTCCCCAGATAAATTAAAAGATCTGAGGGTGAATGAGGTGTAAGCCCACTGGAAGAAGTTTGAATATTTGTTGCTAACGTGTAATGTCTAAAAGAAATACTATTTATTAATTATTCACTCCAATGTGTGTCAACTATTAAAGTATAAAACGATTAAAAAGGTGAAAAACAAAAGAATGCCATACACATTAGTACTATTAGAAAAGTGTGAATAATTCTGGCATGAAGACGACTCGAGGGAATTTTGTTTTTAGGATGATGTGTCTTGGAGTCTTCATTTGTGTTGTTAATGTTTTGTAGGTCTTAATTAGTGAGACTATCATTGTATTTTCAATGGATTAATACAAATTACTTATTGAGCCAGGAAAAAAAGATTCATTTAGACTATAATTATTTTCATTTCCACATATAGATAGCCGTGCTTAGTTAGAGTCACAGACAGCAGAAGCGATGTATAGAAAAAACAACATAAGTTTATTTTAATTCGGGTTCGATTATTTCGGGTCAGGTTCGGATATTTAGATTTTGAAAAAAAAAATTCAAATTATTCATTACTTAAGTTTCATGTATTTAAAAATTTAACTATCAACTTAATTTTTTTTAAATGTTTAATAAGTTGGACGATTAATAAGTTTGAAAATAAATTATTGAAAATAAAAATCATTATTTTGGTTGCTATTTTCGAATTTTGGATGCAAATTTTGTTAAAATATGAAATAAGAAGCTTAATATGCATTTTAAATGAGTAACAAATCATTTTTTTTACAATTATATGTATATTATCTGATCTTAAACTATATATAACATTAATATAGATATTTTTAATAAAATGAGACAAATAAACTAGGAATAAATAGGTATATATATATATATATATATATATATATGTTCGGTTATCTTCGGATATCCGTTCGGATTCGGGTATTACCCATTCGGGTTCGGATATCCAAACTCTCCTAACTCAATATCCGTTCGGATATTTTACTACTTCGGTTCGGATTTCGGTTCGGATATTTCGGGTCGGGTTCGGATACGAATTCGGGTATCGGGTAAAGTGTCCACCCCTATCTGCATCCGTGAGATATAGACAAAATAATAGTTATGATCTGATCACTTGACTCGTTCGACACCCCCCCCCCTCCCCTCATTGATTTAAGAGTTTCTTGTTTTAGTGATATTGGTGTAAATTAAGTAAAACTAGATTTTGATCCGCGCTTGAAAAGCGCGGAAATTTTTATGATTAAAAATTTGTATATTTGGATTTTCTCTTAATTTAAAGAATGTTTTGGTATAAAATCAGTTCACCAAATTTTGTGGTGATGATTATTTTTCATTTGTTTTTAGTGTCAGTTTTTTTTTTATATTTTGTTTTAGATTTTAGTTTTTGGTTTTTAGTTTTTAAGTTTCTATTTTTTAATTTTTAGTTTGTGTTTTGGTTTTTTAATTTATAGACCCGCTGAGTCAGTTTGAATTGATATTACCAACAAACAAATCTCAAATAATCGAACATCTAATTTAAAAATAAAAAAATAAAAAAAATTCAAAAAAAATTGCAATAGTTTATTTTGTAAATAAACAAAAGCAAAAAAATATAACCTTCGTTTTCAGCTTTTGGTTTTGGATTTTAGTTTTTAGATTTGGTTTTGCTTTTTTTTTTTTTAAATTAATAACTTATTTAAGGAAAATAAAACAATAAATTATTTAAAAGTTACTATTGAAATTTCAAAAAAAGGGTGATTGTTATTTAAAATAAAAAATACATTAACATGTTTTAAAGTACATGATTTAAATAAATGTTTAATAATAGATAATTTTGTTTTCTTAAAAATATTAAATATCTTTTGGACCTGAAAATAATAATTGATTTTTTGATTCATTAAGGTGGAAAATTTATTCAATGTTTTTTGGAGTTTTTCCTTAATATTAATCCCAAAACCAAACCATATCATTTTAAAAAAAAAACAAAAGTAAGCCCAAGACTATATCCCATAAATAATCACCGGTTTAATTTAAGTAATGCGGTTCAATTAACTATATGGTTTGTATTATTTGTAACACTCTAGAAAGAGTCCAAATTTAAATGACAACTTGTATCAGTAGATAAAAAAAATGACTTTATTTTAATAGAGTAGATGACTTCAAATCTTGAGTTGGGCTACTACTATAATTAAATCACAATAATTTGAAAATTTGGTTGTGCTGTTCTTATAAATACCCGTCTTAAAATTAGGCCAATAATTTAGTAGGCTTATCAAGTCCATCAAAATCACTAATCAGGCCGTTTTGTTTAATCATAAATGATGTAACGAATTATGTATCTCATTATCAAAACTCAAAAGTATTGGGAGGGGTCCTCATTATGTATCAATGTTACTTTTACGATTTTTAGATTCGGAAAACATTTGAGCATCAGAAAAAAAAAAAAAAAAAGGAAACAATTATTGGAATTGCAATTAAAACGATTATGATTCGAATAATATTTATGTAATGTAAAAATCATGTGTTGATACACTTACAACTTTACAAAGATGAGAGACTGAGCTCAACATTTCAACATATATTATG